AGAACATGGCGAACACCGGCCCACCATCCCTCTCTCCATCCCTCTTTCCATCCCTCCATCCCTCCCTCACCTTGTCCAGGGAGAACATGGCGAACACCGGCCCACCATCCCTCTCTCCATCCCTCTTTCCATCCCTCCATCCCTCCCTCACCTTGTCCAGGGAGAACATGGCGAACACCGGCCCACCATCCCTCTCTCCATCCCTCTTTCCATCCCTCCATCCCTCCCTCACCTTGTCCAGGGAGAACATGGCGAACACCGGCCCGTCGTGAGCCTTCACCGTCTTCAGCAGGATCGGTTCCTTCCAGATGTAAACGTCTCCGTTGGCGGCGCCGGAGAAAACCAGCGCCTCGCTGCGGCCGTAACACACCGACATCATGGTCTCCGGACGACCCACGCTCCTGAACGCACCGCGCCTGAAGGTCAGGCCGCCCCCTGGAGGACGGAGCAGGAAGAGCAGGAGAGAGAAATCAAAGTTTGTACAGAGAAGCTGGTTTAAGATTCAGAGAAAATGATAAAACATCAGCAGAAAGGGAGAAGTTAAAATTATTATTGATCATTTTATTGGAACCAGAGCAGATCTGACTCACACTTAAGCCCAATTTCACTACGATTAAAACTTAATGTTTTTGAAGTGTTTATCATTTAATTTGCTGTAATCAGATTATTTTAACAGAAAAAATGAAAAATCTGCAGTACAGAATAACTCAGCAACAGAAGAGAGAAAGTTTGAGTTTTAATTCTTCATTTAGCATCTAAATTAGCAGCACATTAATTCATGTCAGTAAAACACGGAGCGGATTCTCTACAGATCTGGACTGAAATATTTATTTAATCTAGAAGCTGCAGAAATCAGCTGAATTAAAACATCAGAGTTAAAAATCTGAACCACAGAACAAACAGTTTGAGCCATCAGAGCAAAACCAGCTCATTCTGTGTGTGTGTGTGTGTGTGTGTGTGTGTGTGTGTCCGTGTGTGTGTGTTACCTGCATGCTGCCAGAATCGGATGTGTTTGATCCCCACAGTCACCAGTCTGTCCATCATCACTGGGTTACATTTCACCACGAAGATTTTGTCCTTCTGTCCCCTGAAACAGACGGACGAGTCAGAACATGTCCACATGTCCTCATGTCCTCATGTCCACATGTCCTCATGTCCACATGTCCTCATGTCCTCATGTCCACATGTCCTCTGTCTCTCATGTCTTATTTCTGCCTCATCAGATTAAATCAGAGGTTCTGTCGTCTTCCTGGGTCAGAACCGAACCAGAACCAGACAGTTTGGGTCAGAACTGATCAAGATGCCGTTTGACTTGACAGAAACAGGAAGAAATATAAAAATAGTTGCTGCTTAAAATAAACACATTTTCTCTAAAAATAAAAACCAGATTTATAAATAACTTTCAGCAGGTTTCCTAAAACTGTCCCAGTTGATTTATATCTTTATGAAACACATTCAGAGTTATTTATAATCACAAGCAGAATTATTTAAAGCATTGATGTGACTAACAGGATGTTCTGAGGTGAACTAGAAATAAATCCATTAGCAGAACTAAAGACATTTTTCAGACTTTAATCCTGTTTCTGAGGTTTATTTTACATTTTGTCAGGTTTTCAGCAGTTTTTCAGTTTTTTATATTTTGTCAGGTTTTCAGCAGTTTTTCAGTTTTTTCAGGTTTTCCGTACCGGGCTGTTGCCAGCTTCTCTCCTCGTTTCCAGTCCCAAACGACGATCGAATGTTCGTCATCGACTCCAACAGACACCAGAGTCTTCCCATCGGCTGGAGGGACAAACAGAGAACGGATCATCTGGAGGAGGCCAAGGGTCAGAGGTCACAGGAGCTTCAGACGGGTCAGCTCAGAGCTCTGACAGTTAGAAAATAATCTGCTTTTCCAACATGAAGAACAACTCTGAGTCTCAGATGGTTTCATTGCTTTACATCCAACACAGAACTGAGGCATCCAGCTCCGTTTCACATAAACCGTAAAATAAGATTAAAGAAATATTAACATCCAGAAATAAATCGTGTTTTAACTGAAGGATTCATATCGAAGGAAGAGAGAGTTTACTGACACAGCAGGTCAGGAACAGGTGGATTATTTCTAAATGAACCATTTTAATGATTTCACAGAGAAATCAGATCATTTCTGATTATTTTTAATAATAAAACTTTAATCTTTACCTGAGAAGTCGAGAGCGCAGACGCCTCTCTGGTGCTGACCCCTCAGCAGGGACAGACACTTCAGGGTCTGGACGTCCCAGACATGGACGGCCGGGTCTCTGCCCACCTGAGGACAGACGGTCAGTCTGGACCGGTCAGTCTGGACCGGACAGTCTGAACCGGACAGTCTGGACCGGTCAGTCTGGACCGGACAGTCTGGACCGGAGAGTCTGGACCGGTCAGTCTGGACCGGTCAGTCTGGACCAGTCAGTCTGGACCAGTCAGTCTGGACCGGACAGTCTGGACCGGACAGTCTGAACCGGTCAGTCTGGACCGGACAGTCTGGACCGGACAGTCTGGACCGGTCAGTCTGGACCGGACAGTCTGGACCGGACAGTCTGGACCGGACAGGGTTACAAGCTGCAAAGCTTCTCCATCCCTCATCGTGTCGACCTGACAGTGATACTTATGGCTTCATGACTAGTTTACAAACTGTCACATTTCAAGCATTGATGATTATATTTAAATCGGATTAATTCAGATTTAAGAGAAAAATCACTTAAACCACCAGATAAAACTGAAACTAACAGCTGGAAGAACGAAGCAGTCAGATTCTTCCAGAGTCAGACTCTGGAAGAATCTGACTATCTGTCTCCATGTCTGTCTCTGTGTGTCTCTGTCCACCTGTCCCGTAGCGGCGTAGTCCTTCAGTGGGTGGATGCTGAGGCTCAGGATGTCGTCGTCATGGCCGAGGTAGAACCGCTGGCTGTGCAGCTGCCGGTTGTAAACCACGCCCACCGCGGCCACATGGTACACCACCTCACCGCTCTGGGCGTAGAACAGGTTGTTCCTGCAGTCGTAACCACGGTAACTGGACACACACACAGCGTAGAGGTCACACACACAACATAGAGGTCACACACAGCGTAGAGGTCACACACACAGCGTAGAGGTCACACACAGCGTAGAGGTCACACACAGCGTAGAGGTCACACACAACATAGAGGTCACACCCACAGCGTAGAGGTCACACACAACATAGAGGTCACACACAGCGTAGAGGTCACACACAGCAGGAAGGTTGTGGAGAAAAACAATTTTCTTCAAATCCAAGATGGCCGCTGGACTCCAGTCTGGATGAAGCTGATCTCAGATGTTGAAAGAAAAACAAACACGGAGTGGAGGTATGATGATATGGGCTGGTTTTGATCAGCCCATGTCAAAACCATTCAGGTCTAGACTTTGACTAGGCCATTTTAACTGCATTAATCCAAACCATCCCATATTGCATCATTTTTTAAACCTCAGAGTTTTTAACCCGACCAGGACGTTCACTGTTGGTGCAGCTTTTCTGGAGTCTAGAAGCTGAATCTGGGTCCAAACCGGGTCTTCAACAGAACCACAGCCCAGAACCCAACAGCAGATTTACAGCAGAACCGTTTGAGTTGGTCCAGAGAGATTCATCCACAGGAGGAGAGAAACATGGATCCAGACAGAATCTGGTTCCGATTGGTTCTGGTTCTGATTGGTTCTGATGGTTCTGGTTCTGATGGTTCTGGTGGTTCTGGTTCTGGTGGTTCTGGTTCTGATTGGTTCTGATTGGTTCTGGTGGTTATGGTTCTGTTTAACCCTCTGAACTCAGTGAATCAAATCTGAGGTTGGATTTATTAAAATGATGGATTATAATCTGAAGTTATTGATCATCAGAATTGATCGGTTCTCCTGAAGTTCTAATCCAGACGTCATGAAGCTGCAAACCTTTCAACAATAATCTGGTTTTTAATCTGCTGAACTTTGACTGGACCGTTTTTCCCTCAATGACAGGAATGTTTGATCTGAGTTTGTGATGTGGATCAGAAACAGGATTTATTCCAGATTAATAATCCCGATGTCAGACTGCAGCCCGTCTCCATGGTAACGTACCCGTGAACAAACTGCAGGCGCAGGCCCTGGTCCGGTCCGCTCTGCCTCTTCAGGGATCCAACCTGCTGCTTCTTCTCTCTGCTCTGCTGCTGCAGCTGAGGCAGATCCTCCTTATAGACCTGCAGCAGCACAAACACAGCGTCAGGCTGCGGCATCGCTGCAGTCACAGAGCTGCAGCAGCAGCTGCTTCCTGCAGATGAGCTGATGGAGGATCCGTGCAGCAGCGCTTTCTCTGGAGGTCAGATCGGGTCGGGTCAGGTCAGGGTCAGAGGTCAG